CTAAAGTTTAGCAGAATTCTGCTATGCTAGGCCACACTAACTGCTACAGTTAGCATAACTGGCCCACCCTTGCTTGTAGTTGTACATACTAAAATCACAGCTTTTAAAATGCTGTCTTGAACTGAGCAAGCTGTATCCTAGCTATTCTTGATCATAATAGTTCAATCAACAAAAGAAACACCTCTACATATGTAACACACATATTAAACCTAAACACATATGTAAATCATCTTGAAACATCTTCAGATAAACAAATATATAAACACATAAATATGCATACCTACAAAAAAAGGGTGAAGGATGTGTTGTCATATCAACATACATACATACACACACACAAAAACCAAACATATGGTGGAAAACAGAAAGAAGGACTAGAAATCCAAAAAGGATTCAGCTTCAGTATTAGCAGAAGAAGATCTAGCTCTAATGATGCTAGGATGACGGGAGATAGAAGAGATGGAAGAAGCAGATGAAGCAGGAAAGGATGAAGAATTAAAGGAGAGATGATGGAAATGGTGGAAGAGAGGGACATTGGATTTATCGACAATTTCATGATTTTCACGCTCATGTAAATGATGTTGCTGATGTTGATGCTGTTGATGTTGTTGTTGATGATGGAGGAAGGGGAGGACGAGTTGGTAATGGGCTAAACGTTGATATGCCAACTTGTTAAAATGATTTAAACTCTTGAAGAACTTTTGTCCAATCGGATGTGCTTCGAATTTTCGTATCAGCTCTACACTCAAGCTTCGAATCTTTTTGGACGGATGAAAGAGGCCGAAACTGAGCGGTAATAGGCCACCTAAATAAGAAGGTAACCATGATAATACCTAGTAATTCCAACCCCATTCCAAAAACATAAAATTAGCTTTTTTCGTTGGTGGTTAGAACTTGGAAGTAGAAGTGCTAAAAAATGGTTTACCTCAACTACTTGTTCATCCGTCTCGATCGTATTCACTAATACTTCATAAATCGTTTCCACTTCTACCTCTGGCATTTTCCTAGACATTCTCAAACGACTAATTTGATGGGAAATATCAAACCCGAAATGCGTCTCTCCCCCCAACTCAAATTTCTGTAATAAGGAAAAATACAAATTAGTTTTATTTTGATAAAACAAGTTTATTAAATTGTTTCTCAAGCGAACTTTTTTAAGAATTTGATATGAGTCAGTTTCTCTCCACCCTTCGATCCTAGACGAGTTGAGAAGAAGTTCCTTTTTGTGAGCGACTTCATCATCGACGAAGACAGCACCCGAGCCGAGGAATCTAATTTTATCATTGATGAGTTGAGAGCGGCTAGAAGAATTGAGTTTTTGGTTAGGCGACTGATTAGAAGAAGTTGTGTTATTGTTAGAGCTGCTGGTCCGGGAACGGAGGGTGGGAAGGACCTTGAAGGATAGCGTCTTGATTCCAATCCCGCTCGTCCCGTATTGATCTTCCTCCCATCGTGACCCAATCCTTATAAATCGTCGTACATAGTCCATCATCCTTGCCCGGATGATCGACTCCCCAAAGTGGGCTTGAATCGCTTGCAGAATCTACCATTGGTATGACGAAGGTCAGTCGATTCCAACTTCCACTTTGTACTCTTATATCAGGTCGAGAAAAGATAGGCGAGCAGAGGAAGATAGGGTCAGAGACTTCGAATAACTCACGTCTTCCATTAACAAATTATCCAATGAATCCTTAGCCGCAGCCTCGTGTTTGCTGCTTCCCATAGCGTTAGAGCTTTTCAGCAGATGAGAGTCGTCCTTATGAGAGAGCGAGGAAGGAGTATTTCCAATGGCACCAAGGACAGCACCGCTAGAGGTAGTGAGTTCGGTGGTTGAGCGTTCGGGCGGAGCGGGCGAGAAGGGACGGATGGAATGGAGCGGCATCGCAATATCTTTCGAGACAGTGATCTTGCCGGTCTCGATGTTACAGAACACGTCCCAGGCATCTGTGTGTAGCTCAAAAATCGGATTCGTCACCCCCGCTATGTATCCAGGTCTACAAGTATTAGCAGATCAAACCTCTTCCTTGTGTGAGTCTTCTCTCTCCCACTTCATAATATATATATATAATAACACAAGAGACTGATGCTCACACCACTTTGAAGTCTTCGTAGATTGTCAGATTACAGTACGGAAACGCTCTGGAAATGAAGCCTTCGAGAACACCTCCACAACCAGATCCAAGGGCGCAGGCGGCAAGAACCATTTCGGAAACATGACCTGCGGGCAAGCCATGGCCCAAGAAGACGATGCGTTTCTGGGTAATGAGAGCGTTGAAGAGAAAGACGATCGGGTGGGTGAATGGGCCACTAGAGTGGAGATGGGGGTGGAATGGACCGTTCGGATTCAACGCATTCGGGGACGAGAAAGTCTGGATCAGCTTGATTAATGAATACTGAAGTTCCATCGATCCAGAAATTTTGGCGTAAGCTTTCTTGAATCTTTGTTTGAGATTAAGTCGAAATCAACAGCGAAGATGCTCAACTTCTCCTACTTCTTCTGGGAAAGTTTGCAAGGGAATCCTAACCGGTATAGCCTTGCCAGCATATTCAATCTTTGTATCAAAAAAATGAGTGTCACGAGGCCGTTTCTGGGAAGGTGTACGATAATGGTTGAGGGTACTGTTGTTAGAGGTGTAGAGTGGGGTCTGTTGATTAGACTGAGATGATGAAGATTGTAGATGGCTGCCCAGATTGCTGGTGGTTCGACTATGGGAGCCCTTGAAAGCGTGATGAGAGGTTGGTTTCCCGGGAGATTCGACCGAGCTGGCGTTTGAGTACGAGCCTGAAGAGGTGCGCTGGTGGGGCGGATTGGAGTAGACGGATCGAGTGTCGAAGGAGATGAATGATGAGGAAGATGGCAGGAGTGGCGTGCCTGGACTCGAGTCCGGGAAGCTGACTTTGGCCCCAGTCGAGGACTGGGGGTTATAGAAGGCCGGAAAATTTGATGAGGGAAGACTGAGGTTATTCTGGCTATGACTCGAGGCGATTGTCGACAGGGGGCCATCGGCAAGCTCCCGATTCTCGCCTGACGAGCTTGTAAATTTTTCCTCAAACATGTCTTGGCGTTCTGAACATCTAAGAATTAATCTTTCATGATAGGTCAGATCAGGTAGGCCGCTGGTATCCATCGTGTTGATGGCGTGAAATAGCCGAGCAAGGCAATCGATTGATGGATTTACAAAATAGTCTTCGAGCGCCAGTAACAGAATTGGCTAAATGTGTTGTTATTTTTTTTTTTTTGAAAAAACCGCGAGAGCATGTATTGAATCAGTTCAATGGCTTTGAGATCGTCAGGATAAAAGAAGAGGAAAATCCAATATTGAAAGTAAAAAATTGACCTTGAAGATTTGGATATAAGGATAATACGAGCAAACAGCCATTGCCTTGCAAATCGCCCCTCTGGAGTTTCAAGAATCGGATTAAGTAGGGCAAAGTTTTCTAAAATCAGTAAGAGAGACATCAAATTATGAAAAAGGCTCAATCAAGAGAGATTGTATGACTCGGGGGTGTTGTAGACATGTGAAAAAAAAAATGTTAGGATTGAGGAAAATCTGACCTTCTGACTGATGTATCCTTTTTGGTCCGGACGAGGCTGATGACGTAGAGTAATTTGTTATCAGTTTTATTTGGAGTTGGTTGTTGGATTGAAGGGTTTGATTCAAGTGAAGAGAGATGTTGCTGCTGATAATGAGGGGTTGGGGTTGATTGGGGTTGATTAGAGAGGTGACATCATTTGTGACAGTCAGTCTGGGGGTCTGGTTGAGGAAGAAGACCGTCCAGTCCTCGTTACGGTCGTGTGCGCCATCGGGAAGCATGAGATCGGCCAAGACACTGTCATTTTTTGCGCCCGATTAGAGCAGAACAATGTTAGCCTTAGTCAGATTCTCAATAAAACAAAATCAAACACGAACTGTTCTGCCGTTCCGGTCGGAGAAGGGTACTGATGTTTGAGCCCGCTACCAGTATCAATATCAAATTCGGCTAGAAGGACGTAGGCAGCATGCGGGGTTGTAGTGGCTGATGGATGAGAGTGGGTTGAGCTGGAGTGTAGTAGACGTTCCTGTTGTTCTGGATTGGGGCTTGCTGTTGCTCTGTTGTTGTGGTTTTCGTTCGGGGGGATGGTAGGTTTTTGTGGGCTTGGTTGAGTTGAAGGGAGGATGATTGCAGTTGATGAGGTGGTGGTCCGTTCATAGTTATTGATCAGTTGGTCGATCGAGTTCCTGTTTTCCTTTGGTTTCGGTTCGAGTGTGGTTGATTTGGCAGTGCTTGTTGTTGTTGTTGCTGCTGCTGCTGCTGTTGCTGGTGGATGTGGTGTTGCTGTTGTTGGGTTGTTCATGGTTCCTCGTTGAGGTGGTTCTTGACTGTTTGGTTCCTGTTGACCGTCATCTCGAATCTCGATCAGTTGAAGGCTACCATCCACCCGAGCTGAACCCCCGAACTTCACACGGGGTGAAAAACTCTACAAGAGCCTAGAGGCACTGTGATTTCACTTCATGCATTCTCACTTCCAAGCTCCAACTCGAGTCAACTACCTCGAGGCTTTGAGCTGCAAACCCAAGTACTGTATCAAAGTGCCCAGAAGAATGTTTTCATGATTTTGTTTGGATAAAAAAAACTAGCAAAAAAACATGGGGAGTCCTGAGATTTTGAAAACAGGAATCATGAGGTTCACAACAAATGAGTATAACTGATTATTCTGGAAAGTATAAGATTAAGTGCATGATAATTTCAGAAATACATTTTAGGTTTTAGCTTCTACATGATTGACTTGGTGATTGATTTTGAGAACTCTTTTGGATAGTCTGGAGCACTATGAAAAAATCTCACCAAACTGGTGGCAGTTGACATGCAGGTTACTCCAAATGTAACTTCTGTCATACTGTAATCTATTCCTATTCAAGATTTTCTGCACAGTAACTGTGCAACTGTGCATTGAAGTATGGGGTTGGATCAGAGTATCACAGTTTTTTCACAGAAGTTTCAGTAAATCAACATCAGTGGGGGCTCCAGATCCTATGTAAAGTCCTCCAATTCCTTGGAAATAGAAAATCAGTCAAAATGAGCCAATTTGGCTAAAGAAATGCATTAGCATACCAAAATTCAATTCAACTTTTTTGATGATTTTCTTTTTGGAAAATTTGATTTGTCAGAGAGTTGTGTCAGTTTTTGGTGATGACCTTCCCCAGGAAATGAAAATCTGCAATTCTTTCAACCACACTTCACAACAAATGTGGCTCAAACCCAGGGGTTTTTATAAGTGCACCTTCATCACACACAGTAAACCTGGAGTGTAGCCAAACATGTGGGGATTATAGCAACTAAGAGAATTTATTTATTAGACTCATGTTCTATTTACACTAGATTCTGAATCAATCCTTTAGATGAAAATGTGGTTTACCTAAGATCAGGACTAGTTGTTATGCTTAGTATTTTATTGGAGAGATACAGAGAGAGGCTAATAGGGATTGAGATATAGACAAGTGAAAGGTTCCATAAAAATTGGTATAAGAGAAATGTAAGAGATACTGAGGAAGTTGAGATGACAATATTTCAGCCAACCTTTTTTATTGAAATGAGGGAGAGGTAGATAGAGACATGCAGTTTTATTTAAGCTCAATTCAATTTTGACTTATTGATGGAATAGAGATGCAAGGGCTGCTGTATCATTCTCTCACTGCTAAAATTATTGTATCAGATGCTACATCCGGCATTACATCAGACAAAAATATCTGTTATTACATCAGGAAAAACTGGGATTGTATCTACCAGAATTAATATTATATCTACGTAAAATGATATTATTTCTATCATGAAATATATTAAACCAGACCAACCTATTCAATGTCAACATACCTGAATTTATATCAGATTCTTCTATCTGATTTAATGCCTGTGGGCTAAAAATCTGTATGATATGTAAAGATCTGATATAAAATCAGTTATGTTGACATTAAATAGGTTGGGCTGATGCAATATCTGTTATGATAGATATGACATAATTTTATGTAGATATGATATCACTCCTGATAGATATAATACCAGTTTTGCCTGATGTAAAATCAGATTTTTCATCTGATGTAATGCCAGATGTGGGAATCTGATATCAAAACATTTGCAGTGTCTCAAGTTGACTTAAGATTAGTTTCCCATCTTTTCCAATTGTTTTGATCTCAGCAAGAGAAGACTCACTTGTTTTTCAGTTGACCAATGTGAGTGGCTGATGATGGTGCAGTTATTCCTTTGGCAATGTACCTGAGTTATTATGGCAATGTACCTGAGTTATTCAATAGAGTGGATTTTAGTGATTTGGCATCCTGGTCAGAGTGATCTACCTGGACAATAATGGCTCTTGAAATAATCACAGGTCCAACCTATGGGTACATTTGTTGATCCCAAGTGGTTTCCTGATCTTCGGTGCACTCTTTGAGGGATGAGGTGCTTGTTTCAACTGTTTGTAAAAGAAGGAGTTTGTGGGGGTAAGCTTTGCATTTTTTCTCATATAGACACAGAAAAGGAGAGGCATTATCAGTTTTGTATTTTACCCTTGGGCTACCGTTGCAACGTCTTGTGGTGATCTCCAGTGCAGACAGGGAAGACAAAATAATTTGTGGTTTATTTGGCTGCATGCCAGCTTATCTGGTAGGCCCCAGATTGAGGGTGTGCAGCAGCAATGATTTTAAAGCACCATTATCCTCAATGTAAACGTAGAGTAAACTTCTTGAGAGAGACAGGCTGGGAAATAACAAGGCAGAAAATCAAGTGTGACTGTTTACATGTAGAATAAATTTCCTCTCATCTGACAAAACAATTATACCGAGTATAAGATATAGTGTAAATGATACACATGGAAATGGGCAGGCCATAAAGGAAAAAGAAAGGAAAAATCTGAACTATCATGTCAAATCTGATGGTCAGGAAATCAAACAATCTTGGCCGGAGGGAAGAGTTGGAAAGAAACAACAAAAAAAGCACTAGATTGTATCCAAGTGCATCCAAAACGGGGAAAAAAATGTATAATTGATTCGGTTTCTGACTCGACATCTGACCTACTGAGTGCCATTAGAAGTCGGACCATGGGCAGGAGTATCGGTAGTCTGACTGAGACTTAAGCGGAACTCGAGGAGCTCGAGACTGTTCTTGTCGGATTTAATTTTGAGCTCCAAGATCTGCTGACGAATCTCCTGTTGGAATTTTGAGAGATTGGCCTTGAATTGATTATTCTCTGCCGCAGTGAGCTGGGCAAATCTGGTCATCATGCGCTTCTTTTCTTCATCCATTTGACAGACTTGCTTCTGAAGCCGAGAGCTCACTTGACGTAGTTGATCTTGAACTTCTTTTGAGCGAGTTAGCTTTGTGTTCAAGGAGTTGATCGTCGATTTGGCTTCGGCCAGGAGTTCGTACGGGTCAAGGCTGGTGCTTGAATGATCAGCCGGATTTTCTCTGCTCGTCTCTCCGTTCATCGATTCATCCACCGCCGGCCCCTGAGGTCTTGGAGAATTGAGAATGAGCGTTTCAAGTGCTTGTTGATCGAGCTGGGGATTACGCTGCACAATGCGTTGGCTTCTCTCGACACCCTTTTCCTTTCGCATCTCAGTGGATAAGCGTTGAGAATGGTTGTGGGCCTCTGGAGCTTGGGCTAGTGAACTCGATGGGCCCGAGGGCTTTGGCGGATCTTGGTTCACAGGAGCACTTGGTCCCTGGTTAATAATAATATCCACAGGTGAATCTCTTGCTGAAGGATCAAAGAATATGTAATTTCCATTCGCCATAGCGCCAGCATCGAAAAGACGTAAATCATTGGTCTCAAGGTGCCACGAAGACCTTCCCAAGTCTGCCCGCTCCGAGGCAGTCTTGACATTCATCAAGTTATCCGGAACGGCGCGTATCTGGGCCTTCGGTAAGTTGGAATGAGTTAACCCAGAACCGAGAGCCGATTGGGTTTCCACCGCCGGAGCATTCCCCACACCTACTTCTTTACGACGGATGCTATTACCTTCCATTGAGGCCTCCATGGCATCACCGTCCCTCTCCTCACTAGAAAAGACGAGTGAACAAAACAAAGAGTCAGTCGTCTACACCAAATCTTTATTAGAGGTTCATGGGAAGAATACCAAACTCAACTCACGTTCCGCAGACCATGCTGGCCGAAGCTTTATAAAAGTCCTCTGAAGACATCCGCTCGTTGATGGCCTGCTGGGCGCTTCTAGCGCTGAGAATGTATCGAGGACAACCCGGGTCAGAAGAAGGTTTAGGATCGTTTATAATCTTTCTGAATTGGTTTAACAAGATATCCAGGGATCTAGGTTGGCGGTTGTGCTGATTGGCGTATTGGTTGTACTTTGCGGCGACCTGGGCCCATTCTGAAGCGTTTCCTACTGGCTTGAAATGCAAGACGGCCTTGGCCAGAACCGTCAGGTCGCTGATATTGAATTCCTCCATTCTCGCCGTGGATACCGGACCGATGGGCCCCTGCCCTGGAACAAACGCTTGAGAGCTTGACCGGGTAGTATGTTGCTTAAAGTTTGGATTACTAGTCATTGTGTAGAGTCTTGGAGAGATGATAATTGGTGATTGACTGAAGCAAACCTGGCGACAGTCGAGACAAACAACTATCTTTGCTTTTCCCTCCCCCGTCGCCGTCTCCGTATTCCTTTGCCTCATCTGCTTCATTCTTCCTTTACTCTCATCCTGCATCTATTTTTCCTTTTCCTATGCATTAAGGGTCGGTGGCCCACAGGAGTTAGCATTGCTAATTCAAATACACCAATCATCATCTAATGTAGCCTTCCGATCTAACTAGCGCTTTTGTTAATTGTGTACCTAGCTTACGCTCCCTCAATCCTTGAAGCACCAACCAAAACTATGTTAGCGTCAGTATTGGGCGGTGGGTTGTCAACTATATTCAACCAAGCCTCACCGCGGGGGGTGATATACACCGGCCAATGCCATGCATGCCACACACCGTAAGTACTTCCACAAGAGATGAAATGTCAGGACTATGGGGACCTAGCAGCACATCAAAAAGGGAAAACAGGAGCCCCAAGAAATGGCCTAAGGCAACTTCATACACCACCACTGCAGCTCGACCGCACCCCGGCGAGGTGTTTGCCGGGCAAACCGACCAGCCCCGACCCTGCTAAACCTTGCTGAAATCCGACGTCAGAGCATCCACCCTCGTTTGGGTAAATATTTAGGTAGCCCGCGAGTCCCGCTCGGCTCGGTTGCTTAGCTAATGAGAAAAGTGCCCCTCGTTGCTCGGTATCCGCTCGGTAGGCTGTACCGATTTAGCTACCGACGGCTGATCTACCCTCAGGTCTAACGGCACCCCTCGGTAAAACTCACTCACGCGCTGGGTACTCACTATGG